AAAAAAAAAAAAAAAAAAAAAAAAAAAATATAAAAAAAAAAAAATAATAAAAAAAACAAAAAAAAAAACAAAAAAAAAAAAAACAAAAAAGTGGCGTTGAATCGGAGCTACCGCTCAGAGATTACGTTTTCACACTGCAGTGCTTACCGTTCAAATCTGCTAAGCATTTTTAGACCGTGGATTAGCGAACTCGAATTCCCACTACCGTTCAAATAGCTGCGCCGCAGATATATTTCACAGGGTAAAAAGGGGAGAGCTTGACTTGTGACCGCTGGCAGGAGTAAGGTGACATTTTGGACCGGACCCCCGCTCCCGTGCGAGGCAGCCCGAGCTCTGCAGGAGGAGCGGAGCGGTCGCGTTTCCCCGCTCACCGCGCTGCCCGGCCTCGGGATTCGGACTCGCGGGCGGAGGAGCGGAGCATCCCCGGGCCCGGTGAGTCCCCGCGGGGCTGCGGTGACCCCGCTGCCTCCTCTCGGGCTGCGGGACACGGCCCGGAGCGCGACGGCTCGCTCAGGTGAGTGATGGCCGGGACCGCGGGGCAGCGGGCTGTGCGCCGAGCGGCGGGGATCGCTCGTGTGCTGATCTCGTGGGAAAGCGTGTAAAACACCGCTGCGCCTTCCCACCTCTGCCCGCAACCCGCACCCATCGCCACGTCCACCGCCGCGTGTTCGGGGCCTCGGGTGGAGGTGTGTGTGTGTGTGTTCGCGTTATTTATTGCCTTCATTTATCGTCCAAAAGCTGTTGGCACATGCATTTTCAAGTACAAATTGCTGTTGTAGTACGTATTCCCCTCTCACTAATTCGCCGCCAGCGTGCTAAAATGCATCCTTGATATGCTAAATAAGAAAATATTCACCATCGAAAATAATGAAAATAATGAAGCCCCGCAACGCATTGCTTCACGACGTCCGTCCATATACGCGGCTCGGAAGGAATTAGTATTTATATTCCTCGCGTAGCCGGCAATGTTTTAAGACGGTGGTGGAAAGCTCGTTGTCCTGCCTTGTTGTGCGGAGATAGGCGAGCGAGAGTTTTAGTTGAAGGCATGGAAAAGTATACATATATACCGGAAGAGGGATTTGGAAACAAAACAAACACAGAACTAGAAATCCAACCGCGCACAAACCCAATATTTTCTCGGCTCCCCCAGAAGTACAGCCGTTGCCCGTAGAACTCGATATGTGGAGGGACGTTGAAGGACAGAGAAGCACGTTACTACTGTGCAGTGAGAGCCTTCATCGAAACAAGCATGTCAGAGCGATATTTCATTCCCTGTGTAAAACGCGAAATACAATTCAAGATATATTTTTATTACTTCGCTTTCACTTCAAATAATTCTTGCGAGTTTGGGCGGTTGATAACCGAATTCCGAGAGTCGGGCCTTTTTTGTGTATTATCACCCAGCTACTGGCGTCCGTAATCCCCATAACCGGGAATTCCCATGGACAGAAGTGGCCCTTCGGCTGCGATGCGGGCAGAGGGCATAGCATATGTTTTGTCTTTTTTTTTTTTTTTTTTTTTTTTCTTTTGTCCCACCGAGAAAAGAATCCGTATTTAATCTTTCCAATCTATCCGCTCCTCGAGCTCTTGGCAGAAGCGAAGGTGGTTTGCTGTGGGAAATAAAGTCTGACAGGAGCATATTTCCGAAAAAAAAA